ATTTATAAAATAAGTGTATATTCGTTCTCATTTGTTATGCATGTATTTTTTTTTAATTACGTGTCAGATTAAAACGATTAGCAATGGTTTCTTTTTCTTTTATACCAATTATCGAAAGGTGGGGGTGTATTTGCTAAAACCCAAAAGAAATCTTCAGAGACCTCGAAGAGTGCATATATTCTTGATCAGCATCAAATACTGAATCGATTTCTGGTAATATTTTTAAGTTCACTTACGTTATTGTAATATTTTTCTTTTTTCTTCTCCTACTTGGTGCCCGCCTGCATTCTATAGTTTAGACTCGCATGTAATCATCTACTTATATATATTATCCACCGTTCGCGTGGGGAATGCTTCTAAGATACAAGTTATTATTTTCCCTCCCACTAGCTTATAGTTAAGATATACTTTAGATTTTTTTTTTGTCTATTTTTATTCATGTTGAAGAAAAAAATTTTTAAGTTAACACTAACTGTTAATCTTAGTTAACATTAATGAGGATGAAAAGAAGAAAAAGTGAAATTTTACGATTAAATATTAAAAGTAAAACAAAAAAAAAAAAAAAATGTTGCATCGCATCTGTCTTCTCATCTTATTGCCTCTACAATATCCCTCTACAATTCTTTATAGAAATGAGACACTTCTAGAGTACTTTGCGTGTTAGGCGTTTCTGAGTAATTCTCACGGGCAAACGAGATCGGGAAGCGCGCGACGAAATTGGGGCTGCGGGATCTGATTGGCTCGTTCTCGCTGAACAACAAACTTGATCGATCTCCAAATTGGCAGCAGACCCGTTAGTTACTCGGTTACTCCGATGGGATATTCTCGGTGATAGCGTATCAGCGAAGCTTAACTGCGACGAAGAATTAGAGCTGTTGTTCCGACTGAGTGCGTCAGAAGTGTGATGAACGGAAAACTTTATCAGTAAGCGCATCTTCCGCGAATAATCTCCCACAAGATCCGATGCTTGACTCAACAATCCGCCTTGACATTCTTTCTTAGAGTTTACATGTTTATCTTTTACTCGGTATAAACGGCAACTAGTTTGCAATTTACGGCATACACGATTGCTGAACGCGTCTAAATGTGAGCTTACTCTTAAAACCAACACCGATGTGTCAGCAGACAATGAAGTCTCTTCGCTATGTACGAGAGACTTCACTTTTAAGCGGCGCACTTCTTCGCGGGCCACACGCAAGCTGATATTAGAAGCAGCAACCATACGTACTTCTGATTCAAATACATCCGGAATGTCATCATCTTGGCGTTGGCAATCGTTGCTGGAGAATTCGTAATAAACGTAAACAGCAATTTTTAAAAATAGTAGCATAACCATAACGATTATCGTTAGTTGAAAAGTATTCCACCATAATGCATTTACTTGTCGTTCGTTGCTATAATGTGGAATTTTCAAAAAATAATCATTAATGGCGCCCATAAGTAACGAATTGCATTGGTCAAAATTTAAATGGTTTGCATCGATGGAGAGACTAATAGTTGTGTCTCTTACGGGAAAAGCTAAATTTTTCAAAGCTTCGAACCATTTGCTACCGACAGGATGGACACAATGCTCAGCCGCCTGAAGGAACCAATCGTGACATTCTGCCCCCAATTCTAAGCCCGGGAACAATGATTCACAAACTTTGTCCATTTTTCTGCGGACTACTTTTAAAGGCTTGTAAACTATAGTCCGCGCACTAACAACACACAAACAAATTATCAATTTGCAAAATGTATATATTTTTTGGTTTTTTTTTCAAAAACAACTTTTAAAATAAATTTTTATACTCGAAAAATTATGAGTGCCAATGCCAAACTGAATTCAAACTGTGTGCACTTTGAAGCAACAAAAGGGGAACAAATGGAAAGTAAACAAAGTGTTTCATTTCCAAAGTCATGGCTTTTAAATTAATTAATTAAGAGGTGCTTTTTAAACGCCTTCTGAAACCGATTAAATTATATACATA